TTTCATTTAAAAGACAGAAAATATTTTAAAATCATGATAGAGTACAATACCGAACTCCCACTCCAATATCATATTATTTTCATATCATCCACACGTTCATCTTTTCATTTTATTCGTAAAAACTAATTAGGGTATAATGTTTTTTAATATCTTGTATATTTTTCTAGGTACCAATGGTAAAATTCAATCAATAATTGTTGAAACTAAATTTTCATTTTATTTTGTTTCAGGACATGATTAATTCCAACGCATTTGTAAGTATTGGATTTTGATCTCAAAAAGGAACATGCTTTCGATACACATTCATTGGATCTTTACAACTAATCTTTCTTTTTTCTTTATCAGGTTCGTTTCCAGTTTTTTTTTCTTTGGGTAGGGGATATATTGTTTCTTTGTGAAAAAAGGTCTACAACCCTGACGCAACCCTGCCCACGCGATTGTATCTTATCTTCAAAGATAGAATCATGTCTTTACCTAAAATTCCACCTACACCAAACGATCCTATTTTAAATATTTTTTTTCTATTCAGATGCTCTCATCGTCAATAATTTTGTTATTTAATATTCAAACTTTTCTTTGTATTCTCGTTTACTTTTTTAATGTTTTTTAGGTGAAACTCTAAGGATGGGGCCTCAGAGTGGGGCTCATTCAAAAACGTTTTCGGGGTGATCATTTTCTTTGGTTTCAATTTCATTCGGATGGGGACATCTTCAGGATGCACATCCCGGGTCTTCAGAAGCGGTTACCTCCTCGTGGTTAGACCTGGGCAATGGTATTTTACTTTCAATATAATGTTTAACATATTTCATATGTTATACGTTCCATTGCAAGTAAAATCTAGCCAAAGACCGCTTACCATAAACATTATAATTGTAATTAGTTTCTTTTAACTTCCTAATTTATACCATATCTTTTATCCCTTTCCTTGGTTCCTTCTATCCATTTAATATACAGAAACTAATTACTTTATAATGTTTTTTAATAACTTTTATCTAATTACAGATACCAGGGAGTAGTCCAGAATTGTTAAAATTTAAGTTGCGATCTATAAAAGACATTGTATTAGATTCATTTGTTGCATCTTAACAGTCCGAGAATAACATTTTTTTTCTTCAGGTTTCTTTTTTAAATCATAGCTGCAATGAATAGATAATATGCTTTTTCTTTGTAAAGAATGATTCACATATTTTATCAATTGTGAATTTCAATGTATTGATATTTCGATAGCATTGTACCGTCATTGCATTAAGTACCTACTAGCGCCCACTGGTGGTCCCGGTAGTAAAAAAAATGAAACTGAGTAGATAAAAAAGAGAACTTTTGAGCTTCTATGATTTTTTTATTCTTTGTTCTTATTCGAATTATTTATATATATATGCAAATAATAAGCTTTTAATTTCATATGTCTACAATACCAATATTATGAATAGAAAGTATTTCTATAATAATATTTTCTAAGTTAGAAAATCATAATCAATATAATATCGTATTAAAATAATATTGTATACAATTATGATAAAATTATTATGAATACTTATTTCATATTAGGCCACACACACTGTTTCTATGTAACTTTTGTTTGTATTAACCTTACAAATGATTATGTAACAATCGTATCAACAGTGAGTAGCGACATCATCGTACTGCTTACCGATCGAGCACACGGCTAAAATTTTGTATGTTCCGTTATTATGGCTAACCTGCCTGAGAAATATTTTAACCTTATTCTGATCACGCCGATACGTTTGGAACTATACTGGTGAATTAAAAAACGAATAATAAATGAAGAAGTCAATTAAAAAAGTTTATATTTCTGAATGACGACGACTGATCCGTGTAAAATACTTGCATGTAAATTGCAAAAGTGTTTAAAAGGTTTGAATCCTTAATATTAAGTAAAGTTAGTAAAATGTAAAGATTAAGGTATTGGATTTTTGTTTATACGTAATTTATGTTTATTTTAGAAAACGTATATCAAACTTCTCGTTGTGAAAATATTTTAGAAGATATACGACAATGTTGCATCAAGCATGCTGCAAATTCCATTGTATGTGATGGAATAGATAGATCCAAACCGTATGAACATAATACTGTTGATTACGTAAGTACTATATCATAGAAATTTAATTAAATTGATGATTATTTAATCTGTTAACTTATAATTCCTTTTCTAAAATAATTTCAGAAGAAAGTCATTAGATAAAATATGAAACGTAAAATAAATATTTTTCATCGGTATCCGTTTCCTTTTATTTGTATAGGAACTATATTTTCATTATCGGTTATATATAGTAGACTTGTCTATGATATGTTCAGATCTTATTCAAAGGAGGAAATTGCTGCATATGAGTTAAAAAAACAAGAGTTAAAAGAGCGTATTAAACGTATGAAATTAAAAACCGAATAAAATGGAAGCTGTAAAAAGTGCAAAAGATAGATTTAAAAAATATCCTTTATTAATAGCACAATGCGAAGAGACTGCGAAACAGTATGCTATGTGTGTGTTAGAAAAAAAGACTCTTCGTAAAGACGACTGTAATGCAGAGTTTGCCCGTTTTAAAGCGTGCATTGTAAAAGCAGCTGCTAGTAAAAATACAAGATTATAAAAAATGAATAATAATTGAAAACTTGTATATCTGATTTGTGATTTATTGTAATTTTAATCTTAATCCAAAATGGATTTGTTAATTTTTAAAAAATATTGTATAATTGCATTTTTTCTTAGAATAATATTAGTGGTGTATGCAAACTTTCATGATATTTATTTTAATGTGCCATATACAGACATCGATTACAAAGTGTTTACAGATGCTGCAAGGCACATTACAGAAGGTGATACACCTTTTAAGCGTCACACCTATCGTTATACACCACTATTAGCTTGTTTTTTGATTCCAAATATCTACTTGCATAAAGATTTTGGTAAAATTTTGTTTTCTCTAGTAGACATTGTAGTGGCAGTGTTAATAAGAAGAATACTTACCCGACAAAAATGGAATAACAAGGTAGTAACTATTAGTGTATTTCTTTGGTTGTATAATCCACTTACCGTAGTGATTTCTACTAGAGGTAATGCTGATTCTTTAGCAGTACTACCAGTTATTTTAACACTAGATTTTTTACAAACAGATCAATTTTTTTTAGCCGGATTGATTCATGGATTTTCTGTACATTTTCGATTATATCCAATAATATTCAGTCTGGCTATGTTTCTATCCATTAATAAATATAATCGTTTTATACCAAGTCTAAATCAATTGAAATTTGTCAGTGGATGTGCATTTTCTTTTCTTGCATTAACTGGATTTTTTTATAAACTTTATGGCTATGAATTTCTATATGAAAGTTTTCTCTATCATTTGATAAGAAGAGATGCTAAACACAATTTTTCAGTTTATTTCTACATGTCCTATTTATCATCTGAAATCGAAATGAATACTATTAAAAAAATCTTTATATTATTACCGCAAATAATGTTGTTACTATCATTATCGTACAAGTATTCGGATAAATCTAATTTACCGTTTGCGCTATTCACTCAGGCTATGGTAATTGTAATTTACAATTCGGTGATGACGTCGCAATATTTTTTCTGGTTTTTATCCCTTTTACCACTTTGCCTACCAAATATTAAAATGAGCAACGGTAGATCTATAAATTTAATTAGTATCTGGATTTTGAGTCAAGGTCTATGGTTATTTTTTGCTTATTTGTTAGAATTTCAAGGATTCAATACGTTTTTGTTTTTATGGATTTCAGGACTTTTATTTTTTACTACGAATGTTAAAATTTTGACGGACCTTATTAAATGTTACAAGGCATCATAAATATTCTCAAATTGTATCTTACAATGAGTTATTTAGTTTTGTAGATTACCTAATTAACAAATAAAACGATGTATTTCCAATTACGTATTGAATAAAATTAATATAAAAATAAAAATAAAAATGTAAAAATGTTTATCCTTATTTTAAATAAACAAGATTTAATTAATATCTTCGTCATTCCTGTAAATCTATTGTATTTTGTATATTTCTATAATAATTTCAAAGACACGATGATTTGTCACGTTTCTCTTATCTCGTTTTATTTTTGCAGGAATACAAAATACTTATTTACAGATAGTCTCGTAAAGTAATAGTGATAGATTCTTAAAAGGAATGTAGATATAGTAATGATACAATAATAGTAAATCTTACTGTGTAGTAATCTAGAGTAACTGTCAGCAAGAACATTTCTTGGATCATCTTCAGAAATATTTATTTTCTTCGCTTATGTAATCTAAGCTTGCTAATTAACGTGACGTCGATATCATCGGGTTATTCCGCGTTTTAAATTCATCTCGATTGTTTCAGGTGTTTCTTTCATTTTTGTTTTATTTATATATATATGTAAATATATATAATAATTTCGATGAATCGAATGTGAATCTACGATGTATTCGTTAAAACGCAGATTTGAAATCGTTCAGACGATTTAAACCCAAATCACAGTACGCCAAGAAACAAATAGTAGACGTTTTTATATCTACATGTCACCATGGCAGATGATAAAGTGCAACATATAAAAATAGCATTTTCTTTCATTGCTTTCGTTACAACTTACTGAACAATGTGTGCTATGTGAAATAATCTATTTTATTTTTTCCGTTCCCTCAATAGAATAATTGGTACTTGATTTTTATTTAAAGCATTTGTCGCTTTAAATAAAAATCGGACGAATAACGATAAAGTAGAAGTTTCTAGCCCTTTTTTCTTTTTCTTCCTTCTTTTTTTTTTTACCTACTAAAAATGGATTTCGGTCTACATACATTTATTAGCTGCTAATATTTTCGTCGTTATGTAATTATGTATGTATGTGTAAATGGTAGATGTGTACGCAAGAGTTCAGTTTTCGTCGATAAAATAATTTTCGATGTCACGATTGATCTTAGAAAAATTCTTTCATCGAGAAACATAGAAACGCATTGTATTTCGAGGTACAGGAATAATAAATGAAAAATATAAGACATCGCAACATTCGTGGCGTTGATCGAGTAAAAACGTTTGATTCTAAAAGCCTGCGAGGATATTCGGAAAAATATCTTTTACAAAGTGTATACACATATACAAGAAGAAGAGTGCAAGAAGAGTCTCGATTAATGATCCTACCCTCGTGCATTATTTATATTCCTTTCGTATATTTCTGAAAACGATGCAACAATCGATGCGTTCGGCGCATTTCGTTCTATTTTTTTTCTATTCGAATCATTTTTTTTTCTTTTTCTTTTTTTGTAAATCTTTTTTTCATCTTCATTTCATTTCTTTTTTTTTTTTTTTCTTACAAAATGTCCTTCGAGACAGAGTTCGCGAGTTTCTTCGATCAATTGTTGTTTCACGTCGATGAATAAAAAAAGAGAAAAAAGAATTGTGATGTTATGGTAAGAGGAAAAAAAAACAAAATAAAAGAAATAATAAAAAAAAAAAAAACGGAAAAAGAACGGTATAAAAAACCTTGACAAATATTTTTACGTTTAAAATGAGGGAAACATCGTACGTACCACAAAGAGCTACTATGGCAGATGTTTAATAAAATATAACAGTAGCGATATACATTGCACCCTATGAGAAAGTATAAAATAAACGGCACCTGTGCCTACATAAAGGATAAGCACATAAATCGGTTGAACTATAAATAATCGTTGACATTAATCACATAGTAATAATTATAATAATATCTCGATATACAGTAAGACATTGAAAAAATATACATCGTAATAACGACGCGCATACGAATTACGCTCTTATTTTTTCTATTTTTTTTAATCATCCCTTCAAAGATACATACGATCGAATTTTTATAACAAACACGTCTATCGTATAACTTAATTAAAAAATTATAGTATATATACTACATATAATATATAAGATTTAAAAATATACATAATAATAATAATAATAATAATAATAAAAAAAGAAATATTAAAGCACTCGATGCACACAAATCTTTTTGCGTTATGACGTACACGACGCGGCGTAAACTCAAGAAATGTACACAACGTAAAATAAAAATTCTCTTTGGTCTCTCTTTTCTTTTCTTTTCTTTTTTTTTATACAAGCGCTAACAAAAAGAAAAAAAGAAATACATATCGCTCTTATTATTGCCATCATTTTACTATTTAATAATCTAATCGTTTGACTTCTCTCCTCCTCCTCTTCCTCTTTTCTAAATAAAATAAAACAAATAAAAAAATATTAAATTAATATCCAAATAAAAGATACGTGAAACGAAAAGAACGTATAAGGCAGTGAAAAAAATGTAATATGATAAAGTACGAATATAAAAGTTGTTTGTCTGTAAAACGTGAAAGTGAAAATCAATATATGTATACATATATATATATACATATGTATATATACGGTAAATAGTCTTTGTACTTGCATTCTCTCATAGTATATAATTTTTTTTTGTTCTTGTGTACAATGTGAAATAATGAATACTACTATCTCGACGTACATTAGACCGAAGAAGACGAATAAACGAAACGATAAACTCGTGATGGACGTTAGCGATACTCGGATAAAGAGTTGGCACACTGTCATATAGAAGTAGATCGATGAATTTGTGTTGTATAAATTGTCAAGCTATCATTCTCTCTTTGTTTCTTTTTCATTCTTAAACACGTTGTTTTTTCTCTTTCTTTCTTTTTATCAATTACATTCATATTCTTGCATACTTTCTCTCTCTCTCTCTCTCTCTCTCTCTCTCTCTCTCTCTCTCTCTCTCTCTCTCTCNTCTCTCTCTCTCTCTCTCTCTCTCTCTCTCTCTCTCTCTCTCTCTCTCTCTCTCCCTCATGCATTCTCATTTGTTTTCCTCCTTGTCATTTATTAATTTTATTTTTTTTCTCCCCCTTTTCTTTATTTTTTTTATCAAACGGAAGATCTTGTGCGAACGATGCATGTGATCCTTGCTAGCGTCGTATATGCCGGACTTTTATTCTACAGGTACATCTGAGGAATTCGGAATTGAATTATTTAACTTAAATCGAGAACGAAATCAAACGATTGGCTCGTTATATTTTTCGATTGTTTGAATCTCGGTTTATCAGTCAGTGCGATGAGAACAATCATAGAGAAAACGATATTACAAAGAATCTTATTTTTTTCACATATCATATTCTCGATAAGTATAAAATCGTAACAATCGTTCGTAACAAATACTCATAGTTCTTATTGAAATGTGATATTTCGAAAAAAAAGTTCGTATGATTCGTCAGGTAGCATATTTACAGCGCATAACGAAAAGAAATTCCATTTATGTGGGTTCGTCACAATGCGACGCGTTTTATTCCAACCCCTCTCTTTCTTCGTTCAATTTTTCGTTTAACAACGAAATGTCAATTATTTTCCTTTTCTATTTTTGACGAATAAAATTTCTGATGCATCGACGATGTCGATTGATAAACATTATTATCAATAGGAGAAACTATCGCGAAAAGTTTGACGAATGATCAATTCGTTATTCGGCGAATTAAATCCACCCTTTGTATCTATTCGAAAAAATTTTTGTAGGATAACATTTTCAAAGTTTGCCATTTCTCGGTTGATAAACTATTTACAAGAAAACTTGTCTATTAATCTGACGAAGGAGGAATAAATCGTTGGAAAAAAGTGAGAGGACCCAATCCTCATTAATTCTTCGTGCAAATTTTTATATCTATAATTTCTATTTTTTTTTTCTTTTTTATCTTTTCTTTCATTCACGACTTCTGTCCACGAGGGCTGTTTGGTATTTATTTCTCTCGAAACAAAAGCCATTCGAATGTGTATCCTTTTTTTCGTGACGAGTCACGATGGTCGATAGATTTACTAATTAATAATAATTGTAAATGGAATTTGCGGTAGAAAGAACCTTCGTTTTATAGTGTAAGTTACAACTTATTTACTATTGTGCAGATAGTTTCTATCGTTTCGTAGTGTCCTTTTTCATTTTTTCTTTTTCTTTTCTCGTACATCGCACGATACCAAATGTATCCAACGAGAATGACAGAGATTTCGTGATACGGTTGCTATCGTACACAGGGGAAACAGTCTTTTATGTTTTAAGAAATGCTTTTTTTAATGATGCGTGCTGTGTCGAACGATTCTTATGTACGCTGCTTCATTTTATTTTGACTATTTTTTGCGATTGGATAAGGCAAAGATTGTGCGACGAATCGTAGACATCCTTTACGCGAAATTAAATATAAGAGAAAAAAAAATAAAGAACAGAAAAACAACGCAAGACAAAAACTTCAAAATAAAATGAAACAATAAGATGAAGAGATAAACGTTTTAAGTAGAAAATGAAGATTATTATTTTTTTTCGGAATGGGGACGATCGTCATCCCTCACGTTGAATGTTACATTTTCTTTGCTTAAATAATTATCGATCAATTTGAATGAGTCATATATATATATAGAAAGATAGAATCGAAAAAAGATTGTTCATTTTGCTTTGATAGCAAGAAGATAAATGATAGGACATTTGCATAAGATTAGCAATTTATCTATTTGGGTATCTATCTATCTATCGATCGATCAAGAATCCTCGGTCGTCCCTCTCTTTTTCTCTCTTAATATTTCTTTTTTTACTTTCTTTTTTAAGTTTTTGTCAATTCGTTACGATCGCCTCGACGATCAATCTTTCGTTTTTTTCTTTCTTTCGTACATATGCGTTCGTTCATTCGTTCGTTCGTTCGTTCGTTCGTTCTATCATTCCCAATCTTGTAAAATCATGTACATACTTTTCTTATGCACTCTGCGAAAAAGCTTAACATCGAGAAAAATATGGGGGTATATATTATCTTCTATGTCGATTCAGTCGAATTCGAAATAGATTATATTCGAGTATCAATGCGACGTTACACGCAATACGTTTCACGATAGTACGCAAAAGAGTGCTTGAGTTTTCTCTAAGAAGTCACTTTTCGTTTCACGAGTAAATGCGACACGGTCATTTTCATTAAACGATTTTTACGAAGAAAAAAGTTTTATTAAAACATTTATTTATAAAAAGAAAAAAAAAACAAAAACAAAACGAAAACATTTAATTCATTTTTATTTTTCCTATATGTATAAATGTATATTTATATAATTATATTTATGTACAAAACGAACGTTAACGTTTCTCGTCGTATGAGATTTATTTAGAAATTACGACAAAAATCATAAGGAAGATGACCGAGTCGGTGGATAAACTTTGCGAAACAGTAGTTAATAGGCCATAATAATTCCTAGTCGTAAAGTATGAAAAGTATCAACAAATTTGAAAAACTTCTCCATTCGCGCAAATAGGCTCCGTTTTTTTTTTCTTTTTTTTTTTTTTAATTATCAATCATCCATTTCTATCTTCTTCTTTTTCTTTCTTTACGAACCTTAATTAGTCGTTAGATTTTCTAGGAGTTTTGCCTTTGCAACAACATAAACCGGCCTGCGCAAAGTTTTCTTTTTATACATTATCTTTCCCTTTTTATTTTCTACCAAGAGAAATTTTAACAATTTCATCCAAAAAATTAATATTACTAGAGATAATTGATCTTTTTTTATAATAATAATAATATTTAATGACTAATAAGTAGTAATAACGATCTGATCACTTTGTGACAAGTACAATATTACTCTCTCTCTCTCTCTCTCTCTTTCTCTGTTTTTCTCTTTAGAGAAATAGAAGAAAAATTTAAAAATTTGTTACTAATAAACAAACGAGATCATCTGACTTGACGTTCAGAAGGAAACTTTGCGAAAGCCTTTCTTTCTTTTTATCCTCCCTCTTTCCTTCTCCTTTTCTCTTTCTCTCTCTCTCTCTCTCTCTCTCTCTCTCTCTCTCTCTCTCTCTCTCTCTCTCTCTCTYTCTTTATCTTTCTCTCTTTTTCTTCTTCTTTGACTAAAAAGGCGAAGAAATTGATATATAATTTAATTAATAATTGACAGATAACCAATTAATACGTATCGGAGTGGTAAACGTGGCAAGAAGGCGTAAACTTCTATGATTCAAACGACATAAACTTTTCTAATTTTAACATAGCCACGTACCACCCACTTTACATTGATTGTTAATTACTTATCGCAGTATACTTTGTTAACCTACGCTTTTCCACATTTTTTTTTATTTTTATCTCGTCTCTCTTGTTCTTTTAATTACGATAGAAATGGCATGTGACTATGTATATATTTATATTTATATTTATATTTATATTTATATTTATACTTTTATACTTATATTTATTTTTATATTTATATTTATATTTATATGTATATATGTATACGTAAATTTTTCTCCTATGCACACACGTACATGCATCTTTATTCACACACTTATTCACAGTAGATGCATTCGCAAATTCTTCACACGAATAAAAGAAAAGAAAATAAAACTAGTCATAATCAGACACACAGAAGAACACTCGTGTCTTCTTACATTCTCTTATATATCTTCTTCTACTCGTTTTAATACATTTAAGATGAATAAGTCTCTCTTTCGTAATATGTGTGTCTGTATGCTGTTCGAATTTTATATATATATATATATATATATATATATATATATATCTAAAAATTTCATTGAAGCATTTTACATACGGAGTGCATTATTAATTACAGGCTCGATAATTAGATTGGGAATTGAAATTTCGTTATGTGTTATTATTATTATTCATTTATTAAAGAAAAAGAAGGAGAAAAAAAGAACAAATCCGTCTCTTTTATCGATAACATTGTAATCATAAAAACACTCCATGTACATAATTATGTTTAACAGAAGCACGGACGCGCACGCGTACGCTCGTCAAATCTCTCCGATTCTCTCGCTTTAAAAAAGAGAAAAAGAGAGAAAATTAGTAAGAGAGAGAGAGAGAAAGAGAGAAAGAGAGAAAGAGAGAGGTAAGATATTATAATAAAGACAGAAAAATCAAATAGAAAAAGAGATAACGAGCGACCGTAAGCGCGATCGCACACGCGACTTTGTATTTTGTTGCGCGCTGATAAAGATTTATTCGAAATCTTAAGTAGTTAACAGTAACATTGGGGTATGAAAAATGTACACAATGATTTCGTTAGATTTACAATAGACGCTCGATGTTTACCAATCGCCAGACGAATCTCGCTAACTTAAGAATCAATTCGTCCTCATTGAATATCTATCTGTCCTTTTTTATACGTATATTTATATATACATACATAGATAGTTGAAAATTTGAATGCACCTGGCATTGAAGAATGAATATAGTAATGGATGAATCTAAATGTTTGTTTCTCGCTAGCTGGAAATTGACGCGATTGCATGAAACGTCAGAGATTTACGTAAATAGTATGTACGTATGTATATAAGAACGAGATATGCACATAGTGATTTCACAGTTATAAAACTAACTAAAAACCTTACCGAGATACGCCGAGTGACGTCAAGTTTTATTTACACAAAAGTATTTTACATGCTTATTTTTGTTAGAATAATACGTAAATATGTATATTTATATACATATGTAGGGTTTCTTTTTGTCGTGTACGATGTGTATATATGTGTACATGTATATATATATATATATATTTATATATTTATATATAAACATATTTATTGACGATAATGCGAACGTATCCGATGCTTATAATCGTACATCGTTCGATATATCTCGAAAAAGAGTAAAAAGAAAAAAGCAATAAAATATAATAAGAGACAAAATACACGACAGTGTAAACGATCACACGTTGAGTATTCGTGTTTTTCAACGATAATTCCGTCGATGTTCGAAGCTAAAAAACAAAGGTCTGATCCCTAAAGCGCAGCCTTTTCTCGAATCAACGTTTTTTTTAAATAATTGATAGACTACCCTGTTTCGTTATCGCTTTATTTATTTCAACAGCTTTGTCAACGGATGTAGCATTTGCTACCCTTTAAGGATCAGCCTTTACTACGTAGATCATCGACGAGGAACGATGATACCCCCATTCACCTGTCGCGTAAACATTTTTTCTTTATATTTTTATATCCATTCGAATAATTTCAATTGATTGTTTTTATTTTATTTGAAATATCTTATCCTCGTCGACGAGTTACGAATTCGCAATCGCTTCAACGTAGAATAGAAGATATCCAAACGTCGAGAAACACAAGGAACGAGCTCGGAAATTCTAATTGAAATTCTTCATTTTTTATATTCTCAATTGTTTTTTTTTAAATCGAAAAGCGTCAATTCTCTATCGTCATTTGTAATTTTATATCCCTATTATCATTATTTAGTATTATTATTATTTTATTATTATTATTATTATTACTATTATTATTACTATTATTATTATTATTATTTTATCGTTATTATTATAATTTTATTTATTATATTATCATTATTAATAATATTAATATTATTTTATATCATTCAATTATTGTATTACTATCGTTATTGTTATCGTCCTTAATCTCCAGGAATATATTTACAAAAAGCCATTCGCCGATTACGAACGTGCTTATTTTAAACACAGTTTCGCCCCCCGCTTATTTGTTTTTCCTTTTCTTTGTTTTTTTTTTTTTCTTTAGCGCCATAAAAGAAACCTAAATAGGCCCTAGGTTTTGTATCGACAAAGGATGCATATGTATTTATATATCTATGTATAATATCGTAATAATACGTCTAACCAGTTTGTGCTATCTAATTATACAGACGCGACCCGTATTTTGAATACTTCGAGGGGGCACAGAAAGAGAGGCCGATATTTTCGACCTTCGCTCCGTTTTTCGTGGATACGGGGGAAAAGAAGGGTGAGAGAGAGAGAGAGAGAGAGAGAGAGAGAGAGAGAGAGAGAGAGGGAACGAAGGAAAAAAGGCGGGGGAGTAGAGTATTTTGGTTGATGATTCGACCAATATTGCAATACCAAATTCCATGCGAAAACCGATCCTATGTATTGCACTTTTCGTTTATACCTTTGCCATCTGCTGTCTCTCTCTCTCTCTCTCTCCCCCTCCCTCTCTCCTTTTCTACAAAAAAACATCAAAAAGGAAATAAAAATAACGAAAAAAAAGTTGGTGTGAGGGGTGGTGGAAGGGGGAGCGGGGAAAAAAACAAAACAAATCATAAAAAGAACAAACAAAAAACAAACAATATAGTCCGACTGATATTAATCCTTTCCTTCGTTTTAGGGGATTCAAAATTCCATTAGTCCGTCGACTATTTAAATCGAAATGGGAGGAAAAGCGAATCCCGTTGGAATCTTTTTTTTTTTTTTGTGATTCGGGCGCGAACATTAAATGAAAATTTAATCGGCTTCGAAGGAACATTCGATTTAGAAAATAACGAAACGGAATAAAAAACATTAACAAATAAACAAAAAATATATATATATTGTATATATGTATATTTCTAGCAGAGTTTAAACGCACCGAACAACGAAGTATACGGAGTCATATTTTCTCTCTCTCTTTCTTTTTTTTTTTTTTTCATTCTCTTTTTACTATCTCTGTTCTTTTTCTCTTTTTTTTTTCTTTTGATAAATATCCTTTCTTCACGAATCGTGATATTACAAAATGCTCTTTATCCGCTAATTAGTCTAGTTCTAACGAGAGAGAAAGAGCATACAAAATTACGAGATTGTCGTTCCTCGATGTTATCTCAACGTTGTTATCCACGCTAATTCATAGAGAATTTCGTCACTTCGAACGAATCGTTTAAATGCTTAAAGAGGTCTAAAATATGTCAGTAGTGGATTGTCGATACCGAGTGGTCTGTTTTCCGCATCGAAGAATGCAGTCTTTTCTCCGATATAAATCCGAACCTAACCATCAACGTCCTTTTGCTTATATACCCACATGTGCTACTTCGAGTATTACCTTCTTTTTTCTTCTTCTTCTTTTTCTTCTTTTCTTTCTTTCTTCATCGTCGTATTCAAAAAGAAGAACGAGAACACAGCGTTCGAGTAGAGCGTGTTAGTACGTTCAACGTTAAAGAAAAACGTTGTTTTGTTAAAAATAGTCGAGAGAGAATGGAACGTCCATCGAAATTCTTTCGCTAAATTCGAATCGAGAATTTGACCCTTTTAAGGCAGGTCGAAAAGTCGATTTTCAACGTGTATATATGTTATATATACACATAAGTGAAATCTATGGTATCGCATTAAAAGTCAGGAATATACGCGTCTATCATCTGTTTATATCCGTTTGTACGTTTCGTTCTCTTTCTTTTTCGTGAAGGATTTGTTGGAGAAACGACGAGTAACGAAGTCCGATGGGATTACAAGTTGAAATCTCGGTTGATCCTAGGACGATCAAACGACGGTAGAGGTACCTTCGGTCGAAGTACCCCCGGTCGAGGATCCATCCGTCCAGTCCAAGAGTTGCCGATCGAACAGTTTCTCCTCGAATCCTTCTTGATCGAGAACGTAATTCGGATCTCGACAGTTGCTCGACGCGACGATCCTCTCAAAAGCTCCTTTACTTTTACCGTATCCCAAGGTCCCACTTTTCTCTTCTTCTTGATCGACGTACGTCTTTCTTTTCGTCAACAACCTAGTTGCCGTTCGTGGATGATACTCCAACAGTTCTTCCTGCATTTCCTCCCTTCTCCTTCTACTATTATTTTTCCAATCTCTCGGATAAACTGACGAGGAAGTCGATGCCTCGAAGAAACTATGACGTTGGAACGTCGAAGAGTCACCAAGATGACGTTGCTCGACAAGTAATCGATGATCTCTGCTGGCTTTTCTTAACTGCTTTAAAACGAGATCGATGTATCCCAACATTTCACCGTTCTCCAACATCCTCATACGTTCTCGTCTTATCTCATTTTTCAAGGATGATCCTATCTTCCTTACACCTAACTCACGCCTACGACGTTCCAACGAAGAAATTTGACGAAAACAACATTGCTCTTCTTGATCTTCTTGTTCTATCCGATACAAGTATTCTTCTTCTTCTTCCTCTTGAATACGACGAGAAGTCTCGAAGATGGCACTTCTCGTGCGTCGTCGATGGTTCTAGTTCGGATAGACCCCCTGGCCTCATACGTGCGTCGCTAACGTTCCCACTGCCGAAGTACGCTTTACGGTCGCCACTCCACCGTTTGGTCCTCCGGTTATATAATGCGCTGACAATGGCGCCTGTAAATATAAAATTAATTTAATGTTACACATATTTATTTCATGGTCATTTTTTACGTTTACACACAGTATTTTCATACCATTTTATTTCAAATTCTAAGTTTAATACTATAAATACTATTATGACAAATAATACGCAAGTTATATACAAATCAAATTGGATAGATATGCTCTTTGTAAAATTACCTTATAAATAATAAAATATATAGTACCTATGTTCCTTCTGGTATAATATATTTTATTTTCTTGTATTTCTTTGAACTTTAGACAAAAAATGAGGAAAAAAGGGAATGGGAATGGGAATGGGAATGGGAATGGGTGGTAAAGGGTCGCAAGCGCGCGCACGTACATGTCGACGCTTCCCATCGAATTGAATTATTCGCGCGAAGAACGAGAACCATCTCCGTCGTCTGTTTTATGCGGCTCGCGTTTATCCGTCCCGACTTTTTTCTTACCGAGTCCAGAAAAAAGAAGTTACCTAGCGATCGTGTCACCGGTTGTTTGGAAGTGACTCTCTCTGATTGCATTAAATTTCAAAGGAGTATACGTGCTGGGTTACACGTGTTACAAGTTTGCCAAATTGGAGTATACATTGGTAATCATACTTTTTGTCGTTAACTAATTCTTCCTTACGTGTTGTTGAATTTAATAAACTTATTTTTAACTCTTGTAATATTTTTATCGTGAAATTTGTAGACTCGTATAAATATATCTATTTACATATACGCGATTATTATTTTTATACAAATTTGAAGTATCTATTAAATCGCAAATGAATAAAGAAGATGGAATATAAAGTGGGCTGAAAAAAGGGAACTAAAAATCGTTTCTTTGTTCATACGTTGTTAACAAGCTGAAAGTATAGAAAAAAAATTCTAAAGAAATCTTACCTGTGGTCCAGCACCATTCAAGGTGTTTAAGCTATTCATTCTCATCGCTTGAGTATATGGTGGCGGAGCTGGCGTGACTCCGGGCACTGCAGTGTGCGGCGCGTGCCTCAGCTGTTCAGCTGCTGACATCCTGTTATGAGTAATAATCCTTGCGATTAGTTATCGATTCTATCTCAAAATAATGAGATTATATTGTCGGACTAAGTAGGAGGAAGCTACAACGACGAGCGTAAGATGACCGGAATAAACTTTACCACGAATGATATCCATTAACGAGCGAGCATATTGCATAATTGATATTAGCCAAGAGTTTTGCGTGAGTTTCATCGAACGCGTTGTCTTAATCGGTTTCCTGTTCGAACTATAGAGACGTTTGCTTCCATTATCGGCTTAAGTACTCTACCGTGTAAAGACGAGAAAAGTTTGACGTATATGTACATAAATGTACATATATATTTTATACATATGTATGTATACTATATATTAATAAGTATGTGTGTATAAGTAACATACTTGTAAATATATTTTCCATTAAATCTCAACTGAAGAACTTTCTCAATATCGATTAAATAAGACAATAACAGTGAAAATCGATATATCGAGGAACGTTCTTGTTGACATAGAAAAGGTCTTCAAGTTTTACCTGAGATAAGGGTTGCCATAGGTCGCGGAAAAACGTGGATCGATGACCGGCGTCGTTTGTGGAGTGGATGTTCCCAAGTTCGCCGAACTCAGTCCAATTTTCTTCGATGCGAGAATTCCACCGGATGGTATCCTGCTCAGGGATTCCCGTGACGCTCCCATTCCTTGCGTTGTCGGTGGCATGTAGTCCCGCGTGTAATCCACGTATGGCACATAGCCGTTATTGTTGCTACCGTCCTATATTGCATAAGTCAATGCGTTCGAATAATTAGACTGAGCTCGATTTACATACGAAAGGATTCTATCGACAACGTTTCTGCTTGTTCCAACCATGAATGAATATAATTAAGACTGATTTGGGATTGCGTAGATTGTGTTAAATATAAATAGAAAATATTGAAGATAATTGTCAAATGAATATTTCGAAGGCTTACATTATTTTTTGGTGGAAAAGATGGCTCCGTGTAGTCTGCGCTATAACGGAAACCAAGAGGATTAGGAACAGGTCCAGCAAGTGCCAATGCATTCACTCCTCGAGTACTTCCTTCGCCTTCACTGTCGAGTGCTGTAACGCTTTCTGCATTGCTAACGCTGGAACCCGCTCGTATGTCTGCTTTGACATCCGAGAGATTGCTGCTTCTATCGCTTTCACGATATCGATCTGCATTCGAGTCTGTTTCTTCTACATTTTCGCAAGTATAAGCATATTCATATGGTTATACAAAGTTAAGGAAAACAACAAAATGTTAAACAATAATAATACTCACGCATATCAGTTTCTTGCGTTTGTGCTGTCCTCGGTCGTGGTTGCTTAATACGATCACGACATTGTAGAATGAGTAGAACAATAATGCCAACCAGGATCAAGCAGACGACGAGTCCAACGATGATGAGAATCATTTGCCAATCGACTGGAATCAACGCTAAGCGTCACGCCTAGTTAAAATCTTGCGTGTCAACTCGCAAACGTATGTATTGTATTGTGTATGCATACTGTCTGTGTTATCTTTTATCTTTTATCAATCGTTCTATGATCCCGAGAGATGAACGAAAACTCGGAAATGTTCAAACTTTAAACTCTGAAATGTTGGAAAGTTCTCTTCTAACCTGGAGAATCGTTGATATCGCGTTTTTAATATAACCGTCCTTGTAAAAGGTAATAATCGCTGCTACCCAATACACTTTCAAAAGAGACTGGAGAGAGAACAACGTTCTATTACAACGATTTATAAAATTTTGGATGTTGGGGTGAGATAGGAAAAGGAACGAGTGACGTTACTAGCGAGTGAAAGAGGTCGAGTATAAAATGAACTTACTGTGTGCTGTCAGCTTGATTATGACAGAATCCGTGCCGTAGCTGTTCGTCACCGTACAGTTGTAATCCCCGAAATACGCGGATACTGGATCGGCCAACGTGACGGTGCTGACGACTCTCTCCTGCGTATATTCTTCCTGAACGTAGAACGGCGTATTGTTCAACGAGAAATTGAGCTCACGACCGTCGAAGCTCCATACTACGGATTCCGCTTTTGGCACTGATATCGCAATGCATTTTACCTGTGAAGTCAACGAGAAACGATAGAAAAAAAGGAAAAAGAATAAAAGTAAGGGTTAGGTATCGGGTTTAAAAGGGTAACGCAAAATAAAAAGGCTTACGAGACATCCGTCTTACTTTTTCTATCTATCTGGGAAGAAAAAAGGTTAGCAGCATCGAAAAATCTACCGTCACAGAATCCTGACCTGGATTCTATTCTATCGATGACAAACGATTTACTTTATACGTCAGGAATATGAAAGTTCGAACGATTCAATATGTAAGTTATAAAGCTTTGGTAGTTTTTTTTCTGTAGAAAAATAAAATCACTTGAAGTCTCTATCTTATAATTGATGATTTAATAAGAAAATAATATTGTATCAATTTGAGCGTTATTAAGTGGACTTGAGGAAACAAACGTTCTCGGCAAATTGAACGATCTCTCTTAATCAAAAAAATCAAGAAAAATTCCGAAGAATAAAAATTACCTTGACCACTCCTTCGTCCGGCACATACTGAATCCTTTGTGACACTATGCTAGGTGGTCCACGAATGTAAATGTTGGCAAAACCCGTTAGTAAAGGGAAATTTGGTACATGAGCCTTGCAAAAATAACGTCCTGCTGTCTCAGCACTGACGAAAACGCTTATATTTGGGCTTCTGGCTACCACGTGTTCCGAATCCTCATGATACCATAGAATCTCAGGTGTGGGATTTCCATCAACGTCACATTGTAAGATTTCCGTTGCACTGTAGTGTGTTTCTACGGAAGTGGGTGGATGTCGAAATTGTGGTCCATCTGTATGAAAAAACAAACGAAAGAAAACCACCCCACCCGAAAGATTAATACCCTTTCCATTACCCATACGACCAACGAACTATTTTCACGCTAGTTTTTAAATTAAGAGTGTACAAACTAAGGCGTGAATTTTCATAATTTTTCCATTTAAACTGTGCGAACTTTACGACCATCTTTTTTTCTTTTTCTTTGTTTAAAACCATATCCACTGCACAGGTCCCGTTTTTACTACTTAAGGTAATTTCTAGAGTGCGTCGAGCGGGCACGACGGTAAAAATGATTTCGTCTCCGGAGTCGAATTTAAAGTTTCCGCTCGTAAACGTGAAAAGAAGGCTTTCGCGTGTATACTGTGTGTCCCGGTTATGTTCATACACACCTGGATACATGTGTATAAGCGATCTCTGTGTAGATTTATGTGTATTATACTCACATGTTATATCTAGCGTCTCAGTTTCTTCGCTTTTGCCGACATCGTTATGAACTTCACACTTTACGATCGCATCGTGAAGATCTCGCGTCGCGTTGTGAATGATCATTTCCGTCGTGTAGTCTCCGATGACCTTTTTCTCGTTGATAAACCACCTAAAGAGACGTGAGAAAACAAAGAATGATCGATAACGAGAAGAATCTTCGTCTTTTATACAATTTCTTTTTTTCATTTTATTATTTTATCATTTTTTCTTATTTCTAATATATATATTTTTGTTTTTCTTCAAATCGAATGCACAACATTTCTTTCGTTTTCGAATAAATCTGTTCTATCGTGCGAACAGGACAACCGTTTCCATTATCTGTCTATTTCCTTTTTCCTATCACTTTGAAACGTTACAAAATAATATGAGAAGAGAAAAAAAAAACAATATGAAACGAAGAAAAATATCGATCGAATCGAAAAAGAAACGAGATTTTCGAGTGGAAGAAGTTTGTTCTTCTTACACGATAACCAAGAAAATCGTCTGATCGTTTCAAATGGTAATAAATGAAATGGCTTGGACATAGTCGAGTATTTTCTTTTTCATTCTCTCTTTTTTTCTCTCATCCTCTATTTTATCCATTCATTCATTCTCTCTCTCTGTTCTTCTTTCTATCTATCCGTCAATATCTATCCGTCTTTCTCATTTTAAAATCGTACTCGGTTACGATAAAAGAACAGAAACTGAAGTCGTACTCGAACGACTTAGTCGATTCATGTCCCTCTTAAATGGTATGATGTGTACCAAGACATTCAAGAGGCACAATAGAATCGATTTTATCGGACTCGTACCGCGAACGGTTTAAAAGCCAAAAGAGCTACCAATAAATGATGACGTTGACAACCACCATTTGGACTAGAAAATTCAACGAACAAATCGTACAACCGTACTTTCCAAAAGAGAGAAATGTATTCTTACAAAGAAATTCGACATTATGATGAAACGGATCGTTGGTCACAGTCTTAGTCCTTAACCTTACGAACGAATGAAGCTATTTCATGAAGGGAGAAAGGAAGAGATATCCTTTTCGGAAGTTCGACGATACCGATAGATAGAAGAACAGTTAGGAAAGAGGAGAAGGAAAAAGAAGAAGAAGAAGAAGCTCTATCAGGAAAATGTAGAATAGATTAGAAGGGAAAATGTATTCGCAACCGAGTTCAATGAGCCATTCCCTTTAAAACGATCCTTTTTTTCTTTTGGACTTGTCAGAAGGGTTTGTTAAAAGAGACGGTAATCCGATCGTTCAGTTCGCTTCCTTAAAATGGTAATCCGATCGCTTATGCCGGCTTTCATAGATGACAGAACTGATCTATCCCAAGCGAAGCAGATACAATAGATTCTTGTTAAAAGAAAATTTCTGAGCGGTTTTGTAATCCCTTTTAATAAAATTTACGCCTACGTACTTATTTATCTTTCTTTATTCCCTTTTTTAACAAAAAAAAAAAAAGTAAGAAAGAAGAAAAATATTATTACTAAGAGACACACAAACGTCATACGATTACTTTCGTTTCGAGAAAAAAAATGTCGTCGTGGTGATCTTCATGAAAAAAAAAAAAAAAAATAATAAGTAAGATACGCTATGAAACATTTAGAAAATGTCTCGCCGAGGAGAAGGCATTACGATCGATCACAATTTCCAGATCCGGAAAGAGGGGGAGCTGACGCGTCGCCAGAGACAATGAAATCAGAACGCAAGAGGTGTGTCGTGCTAAAGACCGTACTTATTGTAAAAGGGAGAGCTTCTTCGTGAACGTGTCCTAAAAACTTGAACGATTATATGGGTCAAACGAGGCTCGACGTGCGTATTGAACGTTCTGGATATCTAACAAATTCAACTCTGCCTCCCTTTATCCTCATTATAATAATATTAATTAACTTTTTATTGTTTTCTTTTTTATATATAATGAATTAAAAGTAATATTATTAAACGATTCTAACACAATTTGACATATTTATATACCTAATAAATGCAATGAAATTATTAAACACTTGCATTAACTCTTTCCCTCCGTGTCAAATTTGTTGTCTTGAAAATTTGTAATCGTCTTTAACAATATGTCATTTATTATGTCTAATGTAAGAAAATCATAAGGTATAGAAATCTATTTAGAAAGATGGTAAAAACCGCCGCGGGATATCGTTCTGCGGACGCATGCTATAGCGCGCGCACGATCTGCGCGCGCAGACGTCGTCCTGAATTTGACATTGTCCTCTTTGCAGACGGATATCGATCATCCGTTCTCTTTTGCGTTCTCTGCTTTTGGTCTTTGTCAGACTCGTGAAGTGACCCGCTAGTAAAAGTAACAACATAATCTCCCTACACGAGACCCAGGTAAAACCTGAATAGAATCCATCCTTGCTGTGATTCACAAACACTCACCTGTATTCCATATCAGGGGGGTTGCCCTCGGCGCGACATTTGAACCTCAACTCTGTTCCCTCTATGATACGTTTCTTTTCCGATATTCCAGAACCACGGATTTTTAATGAAACCTTCGGTGCGTATCGTACCTGAAAAACAATTCATTTATTTTATTCCAATTATTTTTTTTTCTTTTTTTTTATCTTTTTTTTTTACAATAAAACCTTTTATTACTTTAAATTGACTATATAATTTTTTGCAGATATTATTGTTATATGTATTCCATATGTATTTATGTATAACATTTTATCTCCCTTTCGTTTTCAAAAATGTATTTGCTTTAGTCAACTTTAGTTTGCTGTGCTTGAGTTGCGACACCGAGTTCAATTCGACGTTGGACTTGTGAAAGGAATTTTATTAAGGGATTTCGCGAGATGGGACTCGAGACTTTCGACTCGTTTTACTCGAGATCGAGTTCTTTTTCCAGATAGAGAATAGAGAAAGGAAGGGAGAAAGAAAGAGAGAGAGAGAGAGAGAGAGAGAGAGAGAGAGAGAGAGAGAGAGAGAGAAATAACAAGAGAAGAGAGAGATGGAACATTTTGAAAAGTTTTTCTCTTCTCTTATCTTTCAATGCAAATCGTAACAATCGAAAAATGGTAACTTTATTGTGCAGTTTGGTGTAACTGCTATTGCGAATAAAATGTTTCCCTTTTTTTTTTATTTCTATTTATTTAAAAAGAGTTCAATTTTCTTTATTTTTTTTATTTAATCGAACGATAGATACATACATACGTATATAAGATTTTGTATGTATAGAAAATGAAGTCTAGTTTCGAGTATATCAATAATTCTCACTTAACGTTTAAAGTAAAGTCTAACATGTTTGGTATAAACTAAGTTGATCGTAAACAATAGGTCAAACTCGGGCGATCTTGTCTCACAAGTATCGCCTTTCGATGGGAATATTTGTGAAAAGTTTTAGTCGCTGAACATTTTACATATACATACCTATGGAAAAGTGATACGAATTGTGGTACTATCTTCTCTAGGATCAGAAACTTTACGAGAGATTTGTTTCACGAGAAAAATAGAGAAAGAGAGAAAGACTTTCTTTTAACACGGAACAAGACCATTCACAGACTACGTAGAAAATTTTCAAAAGTTCCCTTCTTACGATCTTATCGTACATAAATTTTGACGACGACACACGGAAGAAAGTAATTTCGCTCTTCCAAGAAAAGAGTATTTCCTTGGGGCTCGCGACGGCACTCATTCTCTCGTCTCTCTTTCTCTTTCACCCTTCTCTCTTGCTTGCGGTGATATTTCTTATCTTTGCAAAACGACGAGCAAGAGGAATCCTTCTAGATAATATACGTCGCTGGATACTATTTGGGTATGTTGATTAAATCTATTTTTCTTTATTGATAGTTTAAAAATTAATAAAATGTTTTTTAATATTTAATAATTTAACCCGATAAATATATATATATATAGTTATATCGTGAGTTAATCAATTGATAAATTAAGATAACCAAACGTTTATCTAATATCTAGAGTAAAGAATATTCCAAAGGGAAAGTTAGTAAAGTTCGTGCTCGTAATCAATCTATTGTCTAAGAAAAGGGGAAAGAAAAAAGGTAAAAGGAAAGGAAAGAAAAGAAAAGAAAAGAAAAGAAAAGAAAAGAAAAGAAAAGAAAAACAACATAAAATGGTAACGAAAGAAGGAACGAAATACGTAGTCAAAAGGTAAAAAGTTACGCCCCCGGCAATAGACGATTATAACGCGAACCACTTCTCAAGAAACGACGTTAATTATTCTTCGCCTCGTTAATGCTGGCCGGCTTCTATTCAACAAGAAGGTCGTGTTAACTTTGCCCTCCGGCCAGCGTACGAAAAGCCAAACAGTACTTTTCCTTTTCCCGTTTAGATTTTAACTTCCCCGTCGTTGGGGTCTCCGGTGTAAAATAATAATAATAATAATAATAATAATAATAATAATATTAATAATGAACAAGAATTCTTTATATACAAATAAACAAAATCATTTATATCGAAATGAAATTTGTCATTGAAATAGTCGACTTACTTCGACACGTAACTTGGCACTTTGCGGCGTCCGATCAGCCGCGTTTTGACTTTGGCAGGTAAAGGTGGTATTGTCGTGCTCCTTGCGTGGCATCACTTTCAGAATCGATTTAACCGTGTACAAAGGCCCACCATCGAAGAGTTCCTTGGTAGTTTCTATACCTCTATGCTGCACATTGCCTCGCCCATCGATCCATGTGATCTGCATCAAAGATTTTCCGAAGATAAGTATCGGATAGATAAACGATTTAATATCGATTACGGAACCGATCACCTTATACTTACACACACACACACACACACACATATATATATTACATTATATCTATCTATCTCTATCTCTCGTGTATAATGTAAAAGACGGACTTAAAAAGTTGTAACAGGCGTAGGTATAACATTATCGAAACGTATTTGCGATCTCACGGAGAGAATGTCGAGATGAGAAGAAGGAATATGATAAGGTGAGGGGAGGCGGGTAGGTTACAGGGTGGTGTATCGATTGATCGGCTTGCACCGTTAGTACCGCTAACGTTTATTCAGCCCAGAGCGTTTCCCAAGCACCTCTTCTTCTTGACAGTCTTTGGAAGAGCTCGGAGGCCTCGAGCTCCATCGAGAAGCTTTCTCTCCAAACTTTTGAATCTTGTTTAAAATTAATTCACCTTCGGTAGCCATCTTAACGGAGTAGAAAAGGCTGTTAACGATTGAAAATCTTTTCTCCTCGTTATAATTTTAGACCGATAGGATAGCAAAGATGTTTTTAAAGTATCCTTTCTTTGAGAAAGATACAAGTAGATTGAAAAGAACAAAGCATAGGATTATTAAATAAAAAGAGAGGCTAACAATTTTTGTTTTCTTTCTTGGTCCGTTTGGTAATTGATGGAAATTTGTGTATAATACTATGTCACTTTGATAATTCTATAGCTTGTTATAGTTTATGTAAGAGAAAACGAGAGAGAGAGAAAGAATTACTTTTTTTCCAATTTTTATCTTGTTGATATACCTAGTTATACCAAACACTCGTATACCTATTCCACGGAAATCCGTCTTATCGAGTCTAATTACAAGTCCCGAGCGAGAGTTCTACTAGAGTCTGTTATCGATACGAGTTTGGCGCAGGCCATAAGTGTAAGCAACGTCGAGCACAAATTCGCATACCGTTATATAAGCCACTTAGAATGCTACTTGTATTCGCTTGCATATTGAACGTCGATATTGTGGCGTTTCCTCCACTTCATTTTTCCTATTATTTACAACGCAGCAGACGAGGAAAAAATCTCTCACGACACATCGTCACTCTTCGAAATCGTTTCATTAAAAAAGATAGAAGCATCCATTTGTCACGAATGCATTCTATACATCTAGATTGGAGACACTCAAATTTATTAGATTCTGTTATCTCTTACATATATATATTATATGTGGGACGAGCGCTTCCATGTTAAATATTTAAATAGGCATTCGTGAAGAGATTGGACGGTGGGCCCTGGATAGCTCAATGGATAAAGAGCAGTTGCTGGGAAAGCGAAAGATCCGTCCCGGTCCAGTCAGTCCAACGGCCCAATTTTTTCACGAATCCTATATATATGTATAAGTAATTTTGGTATTACAAAGTTTTCGTATTACAAAACAATCTATAATTGTATATATGAGAGCAGCTGACCTAGCTATTTTAACTTGTATGATTGTTCGACGGCATTTATATTTCATTTCTCGATTCTGTCACTCGTAATTAGGAACGCTTTCTCGTTGACAGTTAGATATTTCTTATTTTATGCTAGTCGAAGAGCAATGCTATCTGTAAAAGTTCATCGACGTAAAAGTAGAATAAGGAGGAAAAGGAAAAGGAGAGCATTAAACGTACTGGTAACTCTGATTACTATCCCAAGATAAATCTCGAGAAGCCTCAGGACTTAAGCTTAAGAGGAAAAACAGGAAGAACGAAAAGCGGAGGGGTAGATGTCTGCCACTAACGAAAACTGATTATCGAACGGCTTTTTCTTCTTAGTCGTAGCCTTAATGAACGAGCTTCTACTTATGGTGCAAGCTTCCTTTTCTACCGGTTAGACCTCAGTGCCGAAAAGCTTACGGAAATAGATCTTCACCGCTCTAATTAAGGATTCTACGCAAGAAACTCTACGGTTCGGTACCGATGGTGTAGTTTCACGAGTTTGTGGTTTAACGGTGTTTAATACCGTCATTGTTACGCCATGAGTACGAATCTAATTAACCGACGACAACGACGAGCTTTTACCGACCTTTCGCGAGTTTCTAAGTTAGAAAAGCTACGCTGATTTTGCTACTGATCCTTATTTTCTTATTCCCTTTTACCGGTTATTCCTTTGTTTGCTTTTATTTTTATTTTCATTTATCGGTCGATATACGAACGAAGAGAATGAAAAGTTCAAAATCTTACGGTCAAATATTTTTATTCACGATTACGTTCAATTTATTTCGTTTAAATCCAAATCTATGAAACATCTATTATTAATTGATCCATCATTTAACTATTTTCCAAAAATTATTTTTTCTGAGCAAACAGAAATGCCACACAGAACGGTAAGTTCCTTCGTGCAAAATTTATTCCCGTCTACGGTGAACGTAAATTTCTGCTATTTTTACGATGCAACGTCGTCCCATCTACCGTCCTGCTATCAATCGATCGAAAAGCTTAAACTGAAGTAAATTTTCCATCAACTTGAAAATCTATGAGAATATAGGATGCAATTTTATATCATGATATATTTGGAAATAACTTTCATTTTTTTTCTGCTTAAATTAGTAAGTCTAGACATTTTAATATAGGAACTATTTTTATATTTAATCATATATATATATAAAATACGAATGACATGTTTCATAGTATTCTAAATAAATGCAAAATCGTGTCTATCCTTCTCTCCCTCTCTTCCTCCCTCCCTCTCATTTTCCTTCTCAATTTTTTCATTGGCTTTCGTGTGTGTATACCTATATTTAAAACCTTCCTGAAACTCTCTTTACTCGTATAACATTCTTTCATCCTTTTTTTCTTTCTTTTTTTCTTTCTTCTTCTTCTTTTTTCTTCGTGGGCGCAGTGTCTTTTTTTACAACCTCTCGACGGCAAACAAGCTCCGTCTAAGCTTTCTGCACTGCTGCATCAACCGACCTTATCGTCCTTATCGACATTAATTAGAGAAGCTGCACTAGCACGGGGAGGTAAAACAGGAAAGAGAGAGAGAGAGAGAGAGAAAGATACCACAATCCTGATAGAATTACCAACTCCACCGTCCGCGAAACACGTGGCGGCTGAACCTGTAATCCTATTACACGCTCGAAACGTATCTCTTGGAAAATGACTTGGAAAAATTCATTGGATGAAAACCAAATGAAAATATTCAAGAAAAATAATAAAGAAGACAATTTTCAAGGAAAAATATAAGATGATGAAAATTTCGATTCAAATGATTTTTCGATCAATCGAAATCATTGCAAATTTATTTAGATCTTATGTCATTAGATATATTCCACGTCTTCTATGATCATAGTATACTCATAGTTATCTATGAACTCATCGGCATTCATTAGGATACGCTCAGGTCCAATTCTGATAGGAATTTCGAGAGGTTTCCTCCTCCTTCGAAATGCCTTTCAGCTTAACGGAATCCTCTTCTCTTCTCAACCGTATTCCACGTTATTCCAGTGTCTCTTCTCGTTTCTTCGACCTCCTCTCTCTCTCTCTATCTCTGATTCTATTTCCATCTTTCTCTAGTTCAATTTCGTCTGCTTTCTAAGCACAGTGGTAAGTAGTAATTAAACAAGGAAGCAAAACATTTACCCTATTTCCCTCTTGCTATTTCTCTCTATTTCCACCTTTTTTATTCTTTCTCTCTCTCTTTCGTTTTCTCTATCTTTGCTTATTCTCTTTCTCTCTCTCTCTTTTTTTCTTTCTCATAACATCTCTTTTCCGACATATCATGTAACTCCACTTTCCATGCTATTGTCCGTTTACCGTAGAGACAGTACGCGTACCGCGTAGGAGTTACACAGACGTCACCCCACGGGAAATTATTACCTGCAAATCTGTTTGTCCACAGTTAGGTCTGAACATCGGGCACTGAGCTCGGTGAACGCGAATTATTAGCTACATTCACCGGTGCTGTATTATTCACTGAATAGAGTGAATCTCGTTCGCGATATTTACGCATGGTCGATGCGTTAAATGTCCATCGAGTGCACCGATGTATTATGAGAAATGGAGGTGGAAAGTAAATTTATCGTATCATAACGAAGATCTATGAGTAGGAAGCGATAAGAGTAATAAAACAACTGTGTTTTAAAATAGAAAATAATTAATTTCCTCGTATTTACGATTTTGTATAATAAAAAAGGGATGATAATAATAAAAAAAAAAAAAGAAGCCTCGATGAACAAACTTGCGTTCGTGGCCCGTAAGGAATATTAAATATGAGAGTAAAATTTTGCGGTAAAACTTAATAATTAAAAAACATTAATCTACCGTGACGAATTAACGAATAATTTTAATTAAGGTTGGATAAAATAAAATGTAAACCTCCGTCCTCCTCCTTCCCGCATCCCGAAAAAATAAAATCAGATGTAAGAGCGCGTGTGTCTTCAAAATTACACGGAGTTCTACCGCGCCAATAAAAGCAATGCGAATTTAAAACAAGGTAAGATATAAAAAGATAATACTCGTTTCTAGGTAGCACTGGAGTGTAGCTTGTCGAAGAAGATCCGAGATCGTTTCTCGTTCGCGTAGACTCGTTCGCGTAGACTCGTGCAAATTTTTCTCGCGATTCACGATCTCGTCAAACGATAAGCAAGTTTTTCCGGTTTTCTTTCTCTACAATCTATTCGTTTCTTTTTTCGTAGAATCATCTCAGCACAGATGGAGGACACTGAGAAGGATTCAACGAACTCACGGTTGGCAGCTAAGTGAGTTACTTAAGCGTGAATACCCGGACCGATCAAACCGGTTCCACGTTCATGGTTTTTAAATGTTTTTTTCGAAAGATCGAAACGTTGGTAACAGTTAGTGCCAATTTTGTCACATCTTTTCTTGGACTTACACAGCACATATGTTCGCGATTATTTCAATATTGCATTCTTTGACACGTTTTTAACAACTAATTGACAACGATTTGATCGTGAATATTTGTTATAAGTTTACAACTGAATAAAACAAATGTATAATATCAATTTTCAATT